CGACCCTGAAAAGGATAAGCGGAAGCGAATGGATGGACCCTCAAACAACTAAAACAGCAAATGAGAGCAGGTAAACGGATTCTACAAAAAGACGCAAACACAAAGAGCATATCCCAGTTTACCGGGCATGCCGTCAAGTGCTGAACGCCATCTCACAGTACATCTCACAGATTCTGGAGTGGAGCTGCAGGTTTTGTCCCTCTCCAACCAAATTTAACTGAACAAGTAGCAAAAGAAGATCAAAACTACGCTTTACATTTGATAAACATTGTCATGAATTCCCTCTTACTTTTGCTTTTACATCCCCCACCGCTCTCACTCTCAGTGTACTCAGAGGCCAATTTACCATCAAAAAATTGTATTTTCTGCATTATTCACTTACTTATTGTGTTTCCAGGCTTATTACACACCAATTTACTGTTGTGCACAGTGCTTGTTTGTTCAAAAATGACCTCCAACGAGAAAGCATGATTCATGCTGTTCAATACCAAAGAAATTTAAATTTTTACAAATTATGCCAAATTGCAAAGCGCTTAGCTTTGTCTCTAATAAAACCTCTGTAACTTTCAGCAGCATCAGGTAATGTTCATATATTGATTCATGGTTTTCTTCTGTTTTTTTTTTTTTTTTTAAATTCTTTCTTGTTCCTATTTAGCCTCTACTATATTAAACTTTCAGTAACTTAAATTAAGCCCAAATGTCAAGTGGGACTGGACAAAAAAGGAAAGGAGAAAAATGGTTCCATTAGAATTTCATTACTGGCACAGGAAGACTAGTGGGATAATCATTTCCTGTTCTATTTTAAACCCGACCTGTCATGATCCTGGGCCATGTTGGCCCAGCATTATTAGTTTTCATGTATTTTTGTATTTTGTTCTTTATTTAGGCCATGGCTCCTGTGTTGCTCTGTTAAGTTGTTCCTTATTTGATTTCCCCTTGTGACTTTTATGTGCATGTCTCCCTCAGTTCAGTGTCGCGACTGTCTCCTCCCCGAACATGTGTGCCTTTTTGTGTTCCCTCGGTCCTCAGTTAGCATTCCCAGTTTAGTTCTGTTTCTTTGTGAAGCCTGCAATAAAGCAGTGATTTTGAGTTCAGCTTTTTGTCTCCGTGAGTTTTGCGTTTAGGTCCTCATCTGCCTCCACACAGCCAGTTTATGACAGTACGACGCGACCAGTCATGGACCCAGCAAACTCCTTATGTAATCGGCAGCGTGCAGACTCCGCCTTTCCTAACGAGAGGAGAAGGCAGGAGGCTCGGCACGCCCGGGAGCGCGAGTCTGCCTTTTATGCAGGGCTCTAGCGTGCGACCAATTTGGT